AGATCTAATGCGTGGACCAGTTACTGAAGCGTTGAATATTACCTCTAAAGTTAAATGGGGTGCACAAAGTGGCATAACATTCACCAGATTAGGCACCGATTTCATGAAGCCTGTGATACATATTGGTAAAGATATTTGAAAGAGAATTTAACGTATTATTATATCTACTGCATATTTTATCCACTCAAAATATTCTCGCTATTAATTCATAGTTGAACAGCTGCTAAACAGCACCGATTTGAAAGTGGGTGTACTCTCTGGCCATTTAGATTTGATTTGCGCTACGCCCGGTACTGTAAATTGGATTGAAAAAATGCAATGGAATAATAAGTCCGATTACGAGGCAGCACCACGTGTTGGCATCAATGTCGATCATATCCTCGAGGGTTACGAAAAGAGTGCTGGTAACTTTACTATGTTTTGGGTTAACCGCGCTGGTCATATGGTGCCTGCCGATAACCCTGCCGGCATGAGTTATATTTTAAGGAAATTTACCAACTTTGGTTAAGGAAATACATACATACGTCACCTTGATTCTCAAAGGCCCTAACCGCCAAATTTTTTATTATACAGGAGAAGCAAAAAAAAAACATTATAAATATCAACAAAACATGCATACGGATAGGGCATTTTAAAAAGTACCATAACTTTGTTGTTTTTGTTACTAACGCTTTAAAATTGGGTGTATTTTAATACATCCTACCAAAATCTGCGAAAAACTAGTTTTGAAAAACGTGTTGGTTAGGGCCTTTGTGAATTAAGGTAACGATATGCACATACAAACACAATATGTAAAAAAAACTGTATTTTTTAGATAGAAACCCAAAAATAAAGTAACTTACAAATTGTTCTAGAACTGTATTCAAACTCCTCCTAAATATAATACAAAATAAGGTCCTCTTGCTGTTGTAATAGCATAAACTTTTCCCAAACAGTTCTGGTGAATGTTGTCGGAGTGGAAGCCCTTGGCCAGATATTAACCTGCATCCTTCTCGTATGAACATTAATAAGAGATTGGCGTTTACGTTTGTGGCGTGTGCCTTGATGTTGTCACACAAAGCTGAGGAACCTACAGTTTTACGCCGACTCCGAACGGCGATTGTATTTTTATGAGAAGCTGTTTTTCATGGCAGAAATGCACTCGGAAGTTTGCCATTGCCTGCCGAGGGACGACTGCTGTTAAGAAAAAACCTTTTTTTCTATATTTTTTTGCGATGTTGCTTTGACCAGGGTTTGAACCCAGTTGCTGCGGAGTGGAAGCGCGCACTGCTTACCACTACACCACAGCGACCGACTGATTTTCTGATATCCCTTAAAAAAGGCAAACATTTTATCCTACAAAAAGCTTGAACCTAAAGTTGGCTGCGTACTCTAAACCATTCCAGACGAGGATCATAATCACGTTCCCACGATAAACAGGACTAGGTATCAGGTGAAAGTAGTAACTGGGAAATAACAACATATTTCTTGAGTTTTAAATGTGATTTTGAAATCGCACCGATGAATGTCGACCAGAGACCGTTCGCAATCCAGCGCTTTAATTAAGGAGTGAGGGAAGTTTTTTCAATGTCATCACGTGTGATTAATCTCGTCGAGGACTTTCGACCGGTCCAGTATAATAGTTCAATGAACACATTAATTGAAAAAAAAAATCTTACTAGCTCAAAAGCCGACTGTCGAACCCTAATATAACTAGATAAGGCCCGCCACTCAGTCTGCGTGAAGAGTGGTGTGAAGTCGGAAGGCTCCGTTTATCTTCAGGGGATTCCCAATAATAATACCCAATTGTTTATTTGACCATTTTTTAAAGCAACTGGCCCGTAGTCATAGAGAAGTTAGAAAAAGGTTTTAACGATTAAAATTATGTTTTATTGTAATCACCATTTTAACTCTTTCATAGTCTACTTAAATGCATTTTATGGCAACAACAGGATTTTAACTTTAAAATGAGGAGAACGCGGTTTTAAAATTGTAGAGTAAGGTTCTAAGTTTTGTTTTGTTGTTGAAGTAGTAAACGCAATAGCACCCAGGTTCGGTCCCCACTCCGAGCGATTCCAAACAATTTTTTTTTTTTTTAATTTATTTTTGTTTACCATAAACATTATTTTATTTTATTTTGTTAAATTTTGTTTGATTATCTTTTTTTTGTTTATAGTATTTCATATACATAATTATTTCGTTGTTAATAAAATTTTTTGGAGTATTTGCATAATCGTGGCATTTGTAAATTCACAACAATAAAATCCACATCCTTACCATGTCAGCAAGCATAAAATTTGCAAATGCAATTCGAACTGCAAATCCAACACCATTTCCACAACATCCTGAACAGCCCAATTGATTTTCAAGTGTCTATGCCATTTCTACGGAAAGTTGTTTTTCGGTATGGAACAATCCTAGCAGGTGACAGCATCAATATTCCGACTTACCTTTTTTTTTGACCACCCTAATGCACATACATACATTTGCACATTTAACTGCGGTGAGAAGGAGTGTCATCTACCTTATTGTTCCTTTTGTATAGAGAAAGCTTTAATTTTATTTTGTGGAATATTGTAATCTCAAAAGGCCGAAGTCACAGCGCTTAGTAACGCGTTTTTTACAATAAACGAATCTCAATTCATTTGTATTAGTACCCCTTCCTCTTTTGTAATATTTAATCTCCTGGTTGACTAACTAACCTAACTATTCTATAAAGTTTCTTGATAAAATCACAAAAAATTAAAAATTACAATTAAACATGTACTTTGCAAGTGCATAATTACAGTTTCTTGTGGTGCCCGTACTTTTTAAATAAAGAGTGCTGCCAAATCTTTACTGCCAAACAGTTTACTGTATGTGTGCGGACCTAAAATTTACCGCCGGAAATAGTGAAAATATGAAACAACAGAAGTTTGAAGCTTTAATTAATTTTAACAAAGAACAAGTTACGTGTGCATGTATTATATTTCAACATGGTTGAATTTAATGGAAAAGGTTATTTGCGCATTGGATGGCAAGGGCTTATGCATTTAAGTATGTGCATACAAACTACATACCTGACAAACATTTCGCGATAGTGTCAAAAATATTTATATGAACAAAGAGTGTGTTTGCAGTCCAGTTGGGGATGTTACATACATCGCATTTCTAGGCATTGTGTTATTACAAGATGTGTTCAGAATGTTCAAAAGAAACTTGTTGTAGTTGTAACCACAATGGTTGTAACAACATACCAATTCCCCAAAGGGTTTTTGGGGAATGACGCTGGAGTGAAAGTCCTTGGTCAGATATAAATCTGGGTGGCTCCGGTTACCTAGAACCGACTGTCGTAGGAACCTTTAATTCTTAATTGTTAAACTACAATGCTTTTTAAATAGATATTTCTGAGCTAAAGCATGCAAGAAATTAGCATGCAACCGTGGTTGCGTGTATTGGATAATTCCATCCGCTTTGGTTTGGAAGCAAAAGGGACTGATGTTATGTAAATTTTGGTATTCAGGTTAAATAAATTCTAGCCTCATTAAAGGGTTCAGTAGTTAACTGCATATTACAACCTTTTTTTTCTCATGGCAGATAGCATCAAAAAAGCACTTTTTAGATCAATATGTAATCCATCTCGAATAATCGTTCACCGTCGAATAATCTCTAGGTTTCGAATAACCGCTCTTGTTCTCTGTTGTTCCTCTTTTCTGACTCTTTTTTTTAGCTCATAATGAGGGTTACAATTTAGAATTCTGAGACTTTTGTGACTCTAAATTGAGTCCGAAGGTTTATAGGGGAGGGGGATACTAAATATTCGAATAATCGTAGCCCACCGATTATTTGAATAATTAAAAAAAAATCGAACATACGATTGCCAATCGATCTTTCGAATATTTGATTCAAAAATTGTAAAAGCTAAAGTAATAATAATAGATTGGCATTTACCCAATTAGCAATTGCTTTTTCTTAAAATTGCATACCTTTCACTTCAATGTATTTGAACAAATCGAGTAAAAGGTCTGAAAAAGTATTTGCTTAGGTTTAACATACGGCCCAATATGTTAGTGTTTGCCCAAGCTCCTCCAATTTGAGGATACACTCGAAGGTTTGCCATTGCCCGCCAAGGGCAGGAACTGGACTGAGCCCAGGCCCTGGGGAATGGTTGTTGTTGTTGTTGTTGTTGTTGTAGCGGCTACAACAACCCCGCCCAGATCGGTTAATATTGTCGTCAAGTTCCACTAACGGCAGCCCAAAGAAGCGTGCAGGCTCAATAGGGTCGGTCCACAGGGACAAAGGCGTTAGGGTTGTCTGGTTTTCCAGGCATACGAAGAGATGTTTCGAGTCATGGGGTGTCTCTCCGCTTGCCGGACACTCATTTGGTACATCTGCGTTTAGTATGCTCAGGTATGAGTTTAACCTGCTGCAGTAGCCAGAGCGAAGTTGGGCTATTGTGGTTCTTGTCTCCCGAGGCAGATGAAGCTCCGTCTCGTCAATGTCCGGTGGTTGTGAGCCTAGAACGGCATTCACAGGTCTGGAGTCTACATAACTCGAGACTGACTCCCTGTGAATACCGTTCAGGGCCTGTCAATAAGCTGACGGGTCCAGAGGTCGTTCAATGAACCTCTGAACTTCGTCCGTCAGTTCGTAGAGATGTCTCCTGACGTGCCTGGGCGAGGGCTCTTCTGCAAGCAGTTGCCTATTTGGGTGACCACGTCTATGGCTCCCAACAAGAAGCTGCTTGCAGAGCATTGTGTTGTGCGGAATGGTAGCACGCACTGCTTACCACTACACCGCCTAATAGTAAAAGCTAAGGTACTAAGTTTAAATTAGAAGCTACTCATATTTCGAAACAAGTCAAGCTCTAACTCACCTCTATAACTCCCCGATTCACTTTTAGAACCAGCTGCCATTTATTTTGAATACCATCAGATTAAATATAATTGATCGCAAACTTGCAAGCGACGGACACATAATTTTGAAGTGGGAACTAAAATTTGATTTCTAACATTTTCCGCTTCCTTAAAAAGTCGTCTAAATCGGTCAAATATGAAAGCATTTCTACATGTTTTATTTAATTTACGATTTGTTATTTTAAAAAATACAGTAATGCTTAGTTTGTTGAACTGTTAAGTTCAGCTTTTAGTTTTATGCTCTTGTGTATAATTCAAGTCAAATGCAAAATGAACAAAACGGCTTACTTAAATACAATTGAATCGAGCATGGCGCCCAGGCATTGCACAATGTTATTTTGCATAACCTTGTCGACTTTTTCCTCCAGATGCCGTTTGGGGTCTTGTTTACCGACATTTTTGATGGCTAGTTGCTCTGGGGTCATTTTCTCTTCATCTTCGAGCGACTGAAAATAAATTTAATTTAATGAGCAATTAACAAATAGTTGTAAGATTTATACTCTCTTACTTTGTTGTAATTCTTAGCTAACTCAAGCATTTCCAGTACTGTACTCTCATTGATCGCACAATGTTCATTGTAGTCAGCCAAGGTGAGACCATCTTTCCATGATTTTTT